AAAAAAAAAAAAAAAAAAAAAATTCATTTAAATATGGTAAATTAGATTGTCCCCATAACTGCTATTTCTGGTTAGCTGTTTTGAATAGAGTATTATTTTATAAAATCAGTAGTAAATTTATTGAGCTTTTAAATCTGAAGCATGATAGAACTTTATGCTATGAATAGGTTTAATAAATATTTAAATGAGTAAACAATTTTAATAACAAAAATGTATTCAGCATTTTGTATTCTGTACTGTACTGGATACTATCATGTATAAGATGTGATTCCTGCTTTCTGTGGGCTTGTTGTCTAGAGGAAATAGCAGCAGGTGGGGTGTGTGTGTACACAAGATGAATCTTTACCTTAGGAATAGAAAAGTGTTCTAGGTTTGTTTGTTTTTAAGTGAAGGAAGTATTAGTAGGAAGTTAACAGGTATGGGGATATTTTGAGCAGAGGCGTGGTGGTAGGAACTTTTATAAGAACAGAAGTTTCTTATAGACAAAGCCAAAGACGTAAGTTTGGGGAAGGAAAATACAATCTATTGAGGACTTTTTAGAATCAGGTTAAGAATATTCGGTTTTTGTCTATGCTGCATTGTGTGGAAACCACTAAAAATATTTGAACAGGGGTTTGCAAAATTGGTTTAGAAAAATAAAGTCTTATTTTGCACTATATGATAGATTCTTGACTTCTATTTATTTCAGAAAGATCTTTAGGGCCCCTGGTTTGTAAAATTTTCGTAGAGCTACAATTTTGAGTTTCCTATACTGTGAAAGACTTACAGAGTGATTCTGGAAGGACCTATAGTATGAGTGAGGGATGTGGAGGGGTAGGAGGAAGATCTTGAAAAAGCTGTGGACTCATTCATTCAGCAAAATTTCTAGACTCTCTGCCATATTCTCGGCACAGCTCTTGAAGCTTGGTGAACAGAATGAAATGTCCTGTCCTCTTGGAGCTACTGACTAGGTAGCATATTGTCTACTTTGTGTGAGACATTGCTCTATTTTATTTACATATATTAATTCATTTGCTCTTCTAATAACTCTATAAGGCAGATACAGTACTATTATTATCCCCATTTTACATATGAGGTTAAAAAGCTTAAAGAAGTGACTTGTACAGTATTTAAACTCACAGTCTGTTTCCGTAGTTCACATTTGACAATTGGACATCTTTATTTTCTTTCCATTTAATAGAGGCCCACAATATTAGCCAGTAAAAGAGCTTCAGGTGCCAGCGAGGGGAGAATTGGCATGTGCAGTGGCATGTGTCCAACCTTTATTTCCTTCGTCATAGGAGGAAAAAAATAGGATTAGTCTTGGTAGAGAAAAAGGTATTAGCAGAAAAGCATGAGGCCAAAATGAAATTGGTTAAATATGAGAAGCTGCAGGTATATGTTAGTGAAGGAGAGGTCCTAGTTACTGAAAGGGGTCAGAAGCTTTGTGATTTATGTGGTTATCAGTGGAAGCCCAACATACAACTTGGTCCAGCATTGTAGTCTTTATTCATGGTCCATCTGAAGGGATTACTCACATTTTGAAGGGATTTTGTGACTCTGGAGAAGAAGGGTTAACTCTGAATTGACTTAAGATAATCAGGGTGAGGGTGAGGGTTAGTTTAGTGCACAGACTGGAGAACTGAAGTTAGACTTGGAAAATTATAGCATCCTTAAAGAAATGGATAGTTCTTATTTTGGGAAAAAGTCTTTTGGTTTAGAGATATTAAACTTAGGAGATAGAGGATCATTTTCAAGAGAGAAATTTGAACTAGATCTGTGAATTAAAACAGCATCAAGGCTAGGTGTGATGGCTTATACCTGTAATCCCAGCACTTTGGGAGGCTGAGGCAGGAGAATTGCTTGACACCAGGAGTTTGAGACCAGCAGCTCCTTTCAGTTTGAGGGTAGGCAACAATGTGAGATTCTGTCTCTACAAAAAATTTAAAAATTTTTAGGCATAGTGGCGTGTGCCTGTGATCCCAGCTACTCAGGAGGCTGAGGCAGGAGAATTGCTTGACACCAGGAGTTTGAGACCAGCAGCTCCTTTCAGTTTGAGGGTAGGCAACAATGTGAGATTCTGTCTCTACAAAAAATTTAAAAATTTTTAGGCATAGTGGCGTGTGCCTGTGATCCCTGCTGCTGCATGGGAGGGTTGCTTGAGCCCAGGAGTAAGGTTGCAGTGAGCCATGCTGGTGCCACCTACTCTGGCCTGAGTGACAGAGCAAGACCTTGTCTCAAAAATATAAATAAAATAAATTTAAAAAATAAAACTAAATATCACAGATTTGACATAAGGAAAGCTAATGATGCCTGGTATTTAACCCATAATATTTCAAAAGTATTATGGAGGCCAACCGTTTTATATGCTGTGATCTTTTATAGGAATCTTGAGAGGAGTGGATTCTAGAACTGAAAGATAAATTATATTGAACTAAGCAATTCAAGATAGTTTGTTGAAGATTTTCCTGTTCTTTGGGGCTAGCAGAGTAGAACTTCTAAGATTATTCTGTTTATTACTCTTCATATTAATGAGAGACAGTTGTGGTTTGAAATGAGAGACTTCTTTAATTTGTCTTCAACTGATAAGTGTTTAATAGTGCCAGAAAGTGATAGGACTTTTTTTCTTTTTTGAGACAGAGTCTCACTCTGACACCCAGGCTGGAGTGCAGTGGCTCGATCTTGACTCACTGCAACCTCCACTTCCCAGGTTCAAGTGATTCTCCTGCCTCAGCCTCCCTAGTAGCTGGGATTACAGGTGCCCACTGCCACACCTGGATAATTTTTGTATTTTTAGTAGAGGCGGGGTTTCACCATGTTGGCCAGGATTGTCTCGAACTCCTGACCTCAGATGATCTGCCCGCTTTGGCCTCTCAAAGTACTGGGATTACAGGCATAAGCCACTGTGCCTGGCCTGCTATATTACCTTTTATAGGTTTTTTGGAGTGTATTTTTGCATATTTTATTATGCTGCGGTTTTGTATTCAGGTCAACAGCTACAGCCCCATCACAAATAACAAAACTAGACCTCTTTCATATCCTAGTGTAGAGTATCATCAGGGGACCAGAGACATGGCCAATGATTATAATTAGAATTTTGAGGAAAGCTTGTCTTTCATTAGGGACATCCCAGGCATTCGAGTAATAGACTCATTGCTGAGTGAAAAGAGAGTAACTTATAAAAGTGTCAGTGTTTCTATTTTATTCCCTTTCCTTTTCCTATAAAATCAGTTTATAATGCTTTCTTTCCATCCAAAGCATATATTGCCATTGTAGGATGCCCTTGCCCCAAAGTATTTGTGCAATATGACTTCGTATTCACAACTTGTCTCTTAAATCCCACTTGCTGTTGAATTCCATTTGCTTGCCAAATCTTTACGGAAGATACTCATTAAGTCATGTTTTTCAGAGCAGTGTTTTTGTTCATATCTGGGGAAATCTAGAGTAATTTGTTTACCCCCTTCTTTCTTTTTTAGTGTATGTAAAATGATTATATTTCAAAGTATAAGTGAAGTGAACTTGATACTGGAATGTTTAGGTAGAATTATATTTTCTGTTGAATTACATTTTCTGGTGATTTATTTATTGTTAGCCCAGTATATAAAATAGTCTTAAGGTCTGTCACTAACACTTTTCCTTCCTTCCTTCTTCCCTCCCTCTTTTTTTTTTCTTCTCTTTTCTCTTTCCTCTCCCCTTTCCTTTCAGTTTTCCTTTGCTTTCTTGACAGCATTTCACTATGTTGCCCACGCTAGCTAGAGTACAGTGGCTACTCATAGGCACAATCATAGTGCACTGCAACCTTGAACTCCTAGGTTCAAGTGATTCCCTGACCTCAGCCTCCTGAATAGCTTGGGACTACAGACACACCTCACCACACTTGGCTTATTTAATACCATTTTACATGATCTTAAGCCTTTGATGCAATCCTATTGTCATCGTTTTACAGTGTCTGTCAGATATTGTCAAATACCTGTTACACAGATGTCTTTTTTAGGAGTAATTATCAGAGAAAATTCTGCATTTAAATTAAAATTCTCTTGAAAACATTACTATAGTAGATTTACCCTTAAAACATTGCATTTTTTTTCATGTCTCTATTATTAAACACAATTATAGGCATACCCATTTTTAGACTGCATTCTAGCCCGGGCACTAAGCAACACCCCTGTTCTTTCTCCCTCTTCCTCTGCCTCTTACTTCCTCTCCTTCATTCTTTTTTCTTTTTTTTTTTTTTTTTTTTTTCTTCTTAAAAAAAAAAAAAACAAAAAAAAACATTGTATTAAGTGAAAGAAGCCAGACACAAAAAGCCACATATTGTATGAGTTCACTTACAGGAAGCATCCAGAAGAGACCAGTCTATAGAAAGAGTCGATTAGTGGTGGCCAGGGCTTGGAGGGACAAATAGGAGTGACTGCTTAATTGGGTATGGGGCTTCCTTTTCCAGTGATGAAAATGTTCTGAACTATAGAGAATGGTGATGGTTGCATAACACAGTGAATGTTCTGAAAGACACTAGATTGTATACCCAGATGTTTACAGTGTAAATTTTATGTTGTGTATATTTTACCACAATAAAAAAAATTGCTATAGTGATTGTTTATTTTGATGCTATATTGTAGTTTCTGTTCTCTCAAGTTAGTATTTGTGAAAACTTAATCTTCTCTGTTATATTTTGTTTAGGTAAAATGATCCATTCTATGGTAGCTCATTTGGATGCTGTTACAAGTCTAGCAGTAGATCCTAATGGAATCTATTTGATGTCTGGAAGTAAGTCTTAAAGTTCTGTAGTGCCCACAAACTTAATAAAAGATTGTTACTCAGAAACAAACTTTATTTGTTCTTTTACAGGTCATGACTGTTCTATCAGATTATGGAATTTAGACAGCAAGACATGTGTGCAAGAAATAACAGCGCATAGAAAGAAATTGGATGAATCAATTTATGATGTTGCTTTCCACCCATCAAAAGCATATATAGCTAGTGCAGGAGCTGATGCCCTTGCCAAAGTATTTGTATGAATCAACAAAAACTTGCATCATAACAAGATATGCTTGGACAGAAAGAGGGTCTGCATCACTGCCATCAAAAGGGTTACTGATATGACACTACATGTGATCTGCCTGGTGAAGGCTGTTTGGGGCAGGCACAGATTGGTGGAAAACATCTTAATGTCAAGCTCATTAATTTAACTGTAATTACTGTATTTTGTGGGACAAAAAAAAAAGGACTCCAGTATTTGTGGCCTGTACTGGATATGAACTGAGCGTATGTCTGTTTTTAGGTGTCTTTAAGCCAATGTGGAGTCTGATCTTTCAAAAAAGACTATATATTTTTTTTTTTTTTGACTCTGTGTGCTGCCTTAGGGTTAGGAATGTGGTGCTCTTGTTGGGGGAAGTGAGCTCCAAGAGTAGCTTTTTTTCATCTCTTAGTGATCTTCTGTTCATCAGTTGAATGCCACAGATTCCCCTTTAAACTTATTTTGCTTTAAAAAAAAAAAAAAGAAAAAGAAAATTTAACTTAAAATATTTTAGCATTAGTTGCACAAAATGTTTGGATAAAATTCTAGTTTTTATAAGTCTTTTTATATATTTAGCCTGTCACAACAGTGCTCAAGATTGTATTGAAGTTTTTCTGCATTATATAACCCTAAAACACAGAGATCTCACTGACCAGCTGCCCTGTAACCACTTTCTTTCCTTCTTCTGCCTAATACAGCTCAGCTAAGTCTTTCCATAAAGATGCTAAATAACGTTCATCATCACATAAATGTCTTCATAAACCAAGGACTATTAAGTGTATTAAAATGAAACAGTGGGGTTTAGTACTCCAAATGAACTCTTAAAGAAAAAAACTAATCTTGGCATCCTATCACTATGTGATATTTTGTACATCTTACTGTATTTACAAGTTTATTTATCAAGGATTATCCATCTTGCTAATGGCCTATTATTTATTTCACTTTTTGTTGGTCTTTATATCCTTTTATTAATGTGCTAAAGGAACCTGTATATCTATTTTGGAACTCTTTGAATAGTCTAAAATAGACTAAAAATAGAATATTTTATAGTTTAAATTACAAACCAAGGTGGTTCCCCTAAGATACTTATCTTGGTTTACCATGATTCCAAGCAAAACTAACTTGTTCAAAAATATTTGGAGTAAAATTTTATTTGCATTACAAATAGGATACAAAAATAGTTGAATCAGGATACAGAAATCTGCTGTGTTTTGACTAGTTATCCCTGTTTTATTTTTTTAGATGTGCTTAATTTTATGGTGTAATTAAAGATTTTGTTTGTGTAATGCATGATTAAGACAATAAAGTATTTTTTCTAGTCTTCCGAGAAACTTTTCTGATCAGTTTGCGAGTTTTGATGAGTTTTGTAAGGTTTTTGTTTTACAGACTATGAATCAGCAAATTTTTAAGATTGTACCACATAGTAAACGTACAGCTGTTGAAAAAATAATGTATATAAAATGCATATAATAAATATTAAATTGTGTACCTGTATGTTACTGTTGGCTACATCATTTTGTGCTGAATAATAAAGTGCAATACTTTACTCTCCATAATTAAACTAGGAAATGGAGATTTCTTAGTCCTTCATTTTTATGCTGTTCTTTTAAACTTTACTACTTATCGATATTATAATAAGAGTAGATCAGTAACACTATTAATAATGTGCAAGTATTTCACCTCACTTAAAGATTTTTTAAAATCTTCCATTAAATTATGGAATTCAGCATAATCCCCAAAAATACACAGATTCAGTTTTAAATAATTTGCTTAGACATCCTGTTACTTTATTAAATCTGAATTTCAGTTCATGGCAGTGTTGTTCCTATTTGCCATACCTGTTTCCACAAAAAAAATTTAAGGAATAAACTACATTGAATATTGTTAGGTTGTTGTAAAAGTAATTATGGTTTTTAGCTATTTGTAATTGTGGTTTTTGCCATTGAAATGGCAAAAAACAGTGACTTTTGCACCAACTTATTAATTAAAAGTTGTTTTATAAAGTCAAACATTAATATTTTGAAACTTTCTTCAATAAGGTAATATCCTTTGTCTTTGAAGGGAATTACAGATGAAATTAGAAGGGAACACTAGAAAAATTACGTGTAAAATTCAATTTGAATGCTTGCTGCTGCTGCTGCGGGGAAAAATTGCATTGTATATTGAGACATTTTGTCATCTATTGTAAAAATCTAAGTGGCAATTTTAGTCATTGATGAAAAACTAAAACTTTCCAATTTTTTTTTTTTTTTTTTTTTAGACAGCAGAGTTTCGCTCTTGTTGCCCAGGCTGGAGTGCAGTGGCTCGATCTTGACTCACTGCAACCTCCACCTCCCAGGTTCAAGTGATTCTTCTGCCTCAGCCTCCCAAGTGGCTGGGATTACAGTCATGCACCACCATGCCCAGCTAATTTTGTATTTTTAGTAGAGACAGGGTTTCACCATGTTTGTCAGGCTGGTCTCTAACTCCTGACCTCAGGTGATCCACCTACCTTGGCCTCCCAAAGTGCCGTGATTACAGGTGTGAACCACTGCTCCCAGCAAGTTTTTTTTTAATTATCTTTTTTTGTTTTTCTGAACATTGAACTAAAGAACTAGCAGGGGTACTTTTCTCCTCTTTCTCCTGTTTCTTCTCTTTTGAAATAAAGAATAAACTTTTCCAAAGCTAGTATTGTTTCTAGCAGCTATTCCAACCCAGTGCATTAGTATTGATCTGAAATGTGATGATTATTGCAATGCATAAACATTGACCTATTTGGAGTGTATTAAAACTGAAATGGATAAAAATTAGTATATATATTTATTTTGTTCTTACCTCCTTTGGTTGTATTTTTCTCCAGTATTAAACATTTGGAAGAGACTAAAGGTATGCAAAAAAAATGTCTTATTTTCATTATGTGTGCTTCCATTTGGGACATGGGAAATTATATAGATTAATTTCACCATTAAACAGTACTTTATACAAATCTTAATATGTTGACTTTTTCCCTAATATGAAGTTAATCATATTCTGCCTCTCATATTTCATGTTGCTTTTCTCATTATTTCAAACTAGCTAACTTAGCCATTGAAAACTAACATTGCATTTAATGCATTAAGTTATAAATGGGCTAGCATATTTGAAATCTAAGCATGCCTGCTTAAGTTGGATTGTAATACATCTTTCCTACTGTCTCCTATAGATAACCATTATCTTGATTATGTTTACTTATAAAATTATTGATAGTAAATCAAAGTTCTGATTTCTGCTCTCTTGCTGCTATTCCCTGGTTATGTCAGGTGACAAAACTTTGTCCATTATAAAATTAAAGAAAAAAACCACTTTCTTAAAGGGGCTAATGACTAGTAGCCAGGTTTTCATTAAAGCTTAAGTTTCCAAGAGGTTGTACTTCTGGCTGAGAGTTTTTGGTCTACTTACTGGGGAAAAATCATGTTATGCTAAACCCAGTTTTTATGATGTTTAATTAAAATTATCCTTGTTACATGATTCAGTCATATTTGTAGCATTTTATAAAGGGGGAAGTTGTCTTCTCAAACTCCATTTTCAAATTCAAATTTTTATGTAGTGATAAAGGCAATTCCAGTTGTTTCCCCCTGCATGTTGTCCTTTTATTCCTCCTATGCAGGGTATAAAATTGCAAGACTTGTAAAAGATTTACTGGAGTATGTTCTAACCAGTTAACACCTTTCTCAGGGGGCTTAGGTGGATGAGAGAAGGAGATAGGACCTGTCTTTAGAAAAGACGGACAAGATGGGATGATAAAGCAGCTCTCTGCCTTTTGGGAGAGGCCTTGGTGAGCTAATCATCTAAGTCACATTAAGGGTGTCCTGATGTTCTCCTTTCGCAGGAACCAACTTCACAAACGTTTTTAAGTAAAAAATACAAAACATTTCTGGTGAAACAAGTACTCAGAAGTATCTTGCACTGTTTAACCAGGTAGTGACTAGAACAGTAAGTATTCAATAAACTTTTGTGTCTTTTTGTGTGTGTGTGTGTGTGTGTGTGTGTGTGTGTGTGTGTTGGAGATAGGGTCTTGTTCTGTCATCTAAGCTGGCATGCAGTGGTATGATCATGGCTCTCAGTAGCCTTGACCACCTCAGCTCAAGCAGTCCTCCCACCTCAGCCTTTGAGTAGGTAGGACTACAGGCATGCACCACCAAACCCAGCTAATTTTTTTTTTTTTTGTAGAGTTGAGGGGTCTCACTGTGTTGCCCAGGGTGGTCTTGAACTCCTGGCCTTAAGCAATCCTCCCACTTCAGCCTACCAAAGTGCTGGGATTATAGGCATGAGCCACTGTGGCCTCAGTAAATAATTGAATGAAATAAAAATATGTTCTTGATATTACTGCATGATTTTTAAAAAATTCAGATTGGTGTTATCCACATGAATTTTTACCATATCCTCAGAAGAGACACTTGCAGTAATAAAAGTAAGGCAGCTTACAATAACTCACTAGCAGTTTTATTGCTTAAATAAAACTACAGTATTTCTTCCTGCAGTTATTTGAAATGTCTTTTTCTTTAAAGCTAAATGTTTATAAGCAGTAAGTACTTTACCAACTTAACCTTTAAGTACTTAGGTAACTTACAGTATAAGCCAAATATATCTATATACATATAAAATTAAGGAGAGAAATAGAAAAATACCTGGCAATCCTGCTCTGATTCAGTGTGATATTTTTAGTCATAAGTTGTTACGAAAACACTACAAAAGCAGTTTGATGCAGGACTCCTTTCTATATACAGATTTTATTGTCTTCAGTAATAAACTATCGTTGATTGGTTTTAAGAAAATATCCACTTGGGTCAAAATATGTATACCTGAACTATGTTAAAGAGCTGTTTTCCATTTTCTCCTTTCCTTTTTTCTTATATAATCAATACAGAATGGTTAGAGAAGGAAGGTTGCTTTTGGTCTAAGTATCAGATTATTTTATTGAGCTATAGAATTTGCATATCAGTACATTTAGTAGGCATTGGAACTCTTAAGGTTTTAATCCAGATTATCTCCTCTTTTCCTGAGTTTCTAAGGGCCATGATTATGAAGTCTCAGCAGTGTTTTGAACAAATAAAGTACACTGTAAATTAACCAGAAGGCAGTAGCTTTAAAGGAGTGCTCATTTTGCCTAAACCGCTGTTGCCATATTTAATATAATACTTTTGTATCTGATTCTGCTATGCTAAAGTATTTCAGTATTATGAGAATATGATTTATACATTGGATCCCCTTGTACTTTTTCTTTCTTTTGTCAAAATGTTACCATTATTGCTGGGATTCTAAGAAATCTCTACAAATGCCTCTGATAACGTCAGAAACAATTGGTTCTAATCCTGTGAACTCTCTTGTGAAGAAAGCATGAGACTCCTTCGGTTTAGAAGCCATATCTTTCAGGTCATCCAGAGGTGCCCAAGCCACACCAACAGAGAAGATAGTGATTCCTACAATGGAAACATTTTAAAGTGAATTAAAAACCAGGTCTACCTTATATTTAGAATTACGTCTATATGTTTTCCATACACTATTACATAGTTGCCGTGAAAACTGATTGCTAATTTCTGAACGATTAAATCCCCTGAACAAATTTTCACAGTCATTGTGACGAGAGTGGCAAAAGACTGGTCCAAACCAGAAGCTCTGCTGTATTTGTAGCTCACCACATTAACAGATAAGTCATCATGACTTATCTTGATAAAGTTCAATATCCATTCATGACAGAACACACCTAGTAAGCTAGGAAAAGAAGAAAACTTTTAACCTGATCCACAGTATCTTTTTAAAAATCTTTCAGTAAATGGAGATGGTGAACATTTTCCCTATGAGATTGGCCTATCATCAAACAGTATACTGGAGTCAGAGTCACAGTATATGAAAGCAAGAAAGAATGGCACAAGAGATGGGATAAGTAAATGGTAAAAGTGTTCAAAGGGTCTGAGGAATGGTGACTAGTCCTTTGGTAATAAACCTTCCATTTCTGTCTTTGTATTGGCAAACTGTAATAATTGGAAAATGTCAGTCTATAATTCCAAAGCAAAACTCTAGTGATTAAAAAATACTGCCCAAGAGGTATCTGTGAAACTGGAGTAATTTCCAGTTTCATTGAGGTATTCTATTTGCATTCACTTGAGTTACTAGAAGGCTTTTAGTACAACTGTACGTTTATTTAGGGTGATACTACATTAGTTGGATTCACCCTAATCCCAACTGTAGAAGTTTTCATTTAGCAGATTCTTTTTTTTTTTTTTTTTTTTTTTTTTGATTTGGCAAGGGGATGGAGTCTGGCACTTTTGTCCATGCTGGAGCGCAGTAGTACAATCGAGCCTCACTGCAGCCTCAACTTCCTGAGCTCAAACGATCCTCTTCAGCACCCCAATCCCCAAGTAGTTGGGACTACAGGTACGTGCCACCAAGCCCAGCTAATTTTTAAATTTTTTGTAAAGATGGGCTTTCACTGTGTTGTCCAGGCTAGTCTCATCTCAAATTCCAGGCCTCAAGCAATCCGTCTGCCTCAGCCTCCCAAAGTGCTGGGATTACAGGCGTGAGCCACCACACCCAGCCTCATTTAGCAGATTCTTAGTGTA